AGATATCATCAGTTTCATTTAATTCTGATCGATTTTCATCGCCTACTCTTTAGTAACACAAACCTCATTATTTTACTACCTATTTAGCAAAATATCGTCTTATTCTGAATTGATTTTTTTCATACAACAAATTATCTCATCATCCATCTGAGAAAAACTGGAGACATCGAAAAAAAATTGCATTTGTATTCTTTAGAAGGAACTTGTCACAGGTAATGAGATTTTTTGAAGTAATTCTGATAATCAGAACCAGTCTGTATTAGTGTGTTGACTCAATTTCCTTCACAATACATGATATTGGTCATAATTTTTCTTTGGAATTTTGAAAAATCACTGATGTTAGCTAAATCTGAGTTGAAACCTATTCAAGCCACTCTGATAATACTTAGTTGTATTCAGAGTCAGAAAAGCTTCGAGAAACTGTGAACACGTAATCAGGACAGTAGAGATAAGAAATAACATAAATCTAAAATATTTTCGGATTTTCAATAACTCTAATAGCAAGAAAGAAACCCAAGAAAATGGACCTGAAAATTGGGGGCCGGTAGAAGAAAATGCCCGGTAACAAAATAGTAGCTTGTCCGGGCCTGAGCGGCGCTATGACTGAAACTCATTCATAAATCCACTTATTAGCAGACGTGAAATGACGTGCGATCAATGTTTGTGATCGTTTATTTATTTATGTGTTTATGCTAGAGGTGCTATGTGAATATTGCGGTAGCAATGATGAAACCAAAAGCCAACTCCAAGGCATATAATGAATAGAAATAAATATGAATACATTATAGTAATATTTTTTCGAAATTGAGATGTTTCCATGAGACATGCCATCATAACGGAAAACCCCTAAATTGCCTGAAAACATAATAAGAATACAATTTTTCAGTACCAACACGTCAAGTGGGCGAAAGCATGCACTATTTTTTATCACTATATTAAGGATTCGTGAAAGACTCGTGAATTAGTGAGGTTTTTCTTTTTCATCAATATTAAATGAAGTCGAAAATCAAACTATTCAAATGCGTGACATTCCCAAATATTCAGCTACCTATTCTGTTATTGAAATAATGAGAAGTATTGCGCTATAAACGGAAAATTGAGAGAAAATAAAGGTTGGCTATTTAAAGAAAAATTAAATTGTTTTCTGCAAACGGCTCAAATGTCGTTCATTCTAATTCCATATTACTACACGAAAAAGAGTATGTTGCTAGGCGACACTTTCGGTTTTTAGAAGCTAGAAAATTGAACTTAAACTCCTATGGGAACCAAAAAAAGGATGTATACTAGGTCATCAAGAATAAACAACATGGGTAAGTATTGAATTCATCATATTCTACAGAAAACTAATACTCAATTTGTGATAATTATATTGAGATCACAATTCGAACATCCTTGAAAACAGTATATTCTTTGAGTAATCACTTCAAAGAAATAAAAAGAGAGAAAAAAGTAAGAATATACAGCACTCGAACCTACAACAATCATAATATCAGGCCAGCACGCTTCCCACTGGCCATTGTGTATCATGCAAAATTGAGTACAAATCATTTATACAGGTAGGATGATCTTCACCATATGGAATATTTGTTGCATCGCATCCTCAATATGGCACGTCAACAACGTTTTGGATATTATTGAATTGGTGTCTGTAGCACAGCTAACAAATTGTAACAAAGTGAAGTAGTGTGAGGTATTGATTTTATCTACTTCCTCATATTATTGGAATAATCTGGTAAGTGAGTCATATTGTTTGGTATTTCAGTTGAATATATATTTTAGTTAGGTCTCAATTCTTTATTCGGTTGCAGATAACATAGCTTGTTCAGTCTGATCAAAAATGACTTTGTTCGACTCGGCTCTGCTAATGCTTCGCCTCGCAAACGCAGAATTAGCTTGTCAAAGAAATTGCCACTTTTAATTCTGATAAAACAATCTACTATTATGAATTATTCACAACGGATGAAACTGTGAGTTTTTTTGGGTGTGCAGTCAAAAAAGAAGTATACTGCTGTTTCTGTTCAAGCTTTCGAGTCTTTATTGGCTCTTCATCAGGAACTCTATGAAACATTAAAATTGATATAGAAATTGAATCGTTATCATCCATTATTGAAACACTTACGGAAAAAGAGATTTCGTTGGGGCAATAATACATGTGTAACATTCACTACATGAAAACATCAATATTTTTGAATATTGAGAAAAAAGTGATACGTTATACTTGAATTTTGTCGAGAAAACTCACAAAGCATTTTTGCTCCGATAATCATTACAACATGTCTGACAAGCAGAAGCAGAACAGTAACATGGACACATGTCTGAACGAATTATGTAATGATCAGAATTTCATATGCCATGAGTCAATTGTCAAAATTCAAAATTTCGGAAGTAACGGTATCTCCCATTCAACTGAATAGAAAAAGAAGAAGAATTGGACATTCCAATGATGGTATTACCAACTGTTGATATTTAAGCGGGAAATTTAAGATTCTTCATTGATGGATATGTTATTGCGATTCGCTGGTGAACTCAAAAGGTGAGAGTAAATCATGTTTGAATTGTCAATTTCAGTTCTAGTAATAATAGTGTTCGTTGATTTGGAAATATGTGTCATTTCTAAAAGAGTTATTTTCAGAAATGACACATATTTTCACACACAAGTTCAGAACGAAACAGAGATTAATAAATGTTGATCAAAATATGATGGTTGTAAATAAAATGGTTTACAAATCTTGGTAGGAAGTTTCATTCCTGTCTCGAGATCATACCTAACCTCGAAATTTTGCGTTTCGGTTAACTAAAAAATCTCACGACAGGAATGAATCTCTTTCAACCTTGTCGTTTTATATACAATTCGTGTCCTGATTTCGTTTTATGAGGATATTTCTGTACATTGAAGATGTACAGGTTGGGCCAAATTGGGCACTTTTGAAGGGAAAGTCCTATTACCGTACAAGCTGGAAAAAAAACTGAGGTCGGTGCCTGTTGATCAATTCTCATGAGAAGCTCAAAGCTGAAAAGCGCATTTCGATATATATCTTCTTTTCAGAGCTGATTTGATGAGCTGTATGATGGTAGTTTGTGGAAGAGTCCTGCCGAACACGGCCTACTATATATCCAATGCCACAGCTATAGAGATACCCGCTGTTTTTCTAATGGAGCTTGGTAACGTCAGTTTTTATGCTGTTTTGTTATTGGACAGATAATCTGGCATTTGTACTGATGGAGCAAGGTTCTTGAGCCACCAATTATAATCAAGTTATCAAGAAGATGTTTGTGTCCTGTCATCGAACAAAATATAATAGAAGGAACTCATGACATTATAGTTCATTCTTGACTTCTTTGAGCAACCAGCATGTCAAAATATCTTTTATTCTCCATAAAAAAATATCATATGAATGTTAGAGACTTGGCAACATTATGCTGAATGCTGGGAGCTGACAAGACCACGCCCACAAGTCGTGCGCCGTGGTTATCACGTTCACCGATTGAAAAGTCCTCTAGTGTGAATCAATATAGCTCTTATTTACACAAATTCATGTCAAGCAATAAGCCACCCATTATAAGGGAACATTTTGAGATGATTGAATTTGTATTGCTAATTACCAATACTCGATTGAGAATCCATGAATTATTGAATAACCAAAGTTTCTAAAGTTCCCAATCGTATTTGAAAACATGGCAACTGTGCTATGGTTTGCCCCCTACTCAAGAAATCGTGGCGTCAGCTTTTACTGACGGTAAATTTCTAGCCGTTTGATAATTACCGTGGCATTATTTATGATTTTAGCAATTGAAAATCGATCGAATAATTCTCAAAAAATATGGAATTAAAAGGTATTTGGGTTATAATTCTATTTAAGAAACGAAAGAAAATTGTCCACTCGCCTATTGATGACAAATTTTCGTATCGATGCTGCATTCAAAACAGTTTCTCTTGAATAAACGCAATATTTCATTGAATCAACGATATGATTCATTGAATTGACGAAATGTTCCATTGAATATAAAGATACTGACCTGCTTAATATAGAAACACTATTTATTTACCAATCATTACAACGTATGCACAGTACGCAAAATAAATATACGGTGAAAAAAAACAGAATGACCAGATCGACTCTAAACAAAAACATTCAAGTTCATTCATTCAAAAAATCTGTAACCCAAAGATCATTTATGTATTTTGGTCCAAAATTCTTCAATCTTATACCAGCTGACCTTAGAGATATAAAAAACCACAAGATCTTTAAAAAGTTAGTAAAAAAATTCATAATAGAAAACCATGAAAAATTTGGTTAGATTTAAAACCAGAGAAAGGAATAGTTAATCTATTGACTCCATGATGTATGTAAAACGCATAAACTGATTGCCAAACCACTATGGTTCCGTCGGTTCTTCCTCATTGCTACAATGAACCTTCATATTATTTAATATTTGTATCGCTCGCCCTTACTACACACGTAATTGCAAATTCGAAAGCATATGTAAAGGGTTGGACAAGCAATACAGGCATATTTGCCTAGGCCAATTCCGACCCTGAACCAGATGCTGCTATAAACCAGCAATCGAAATAACATGTATTTTGTTAATTTTGTAACATGAATTTTTGTATAACTTGTAAATTTTGTAACTAGAATGGCAATAAAATTGAATTGAATTGAATTGAATCAACACAATATCTCAAAATCAACGAAATATCTTATCCAGTCAATATCTTCTCATTTTGAATCCAACAAATCGATTGTTCGAGCCAATTCAATATCTCTCAATTAGCAATGCATGTATTTGATTGATCGAATGAGATTCAGAGTATATTCACTAGATTCATACTTCAAATGTACTCTGAAACAAGATATAATTTTCCTCATTTCTAGATCATATTTGTCGTTTATATTCGACACTTATATTTGTTCCACTGAAATTAATATTGCTTTATTCAACGATTTTTTTTTCGTGTATTATGTACAATGTTCACTATATATTCATTATATTCCACCTCATCACTTCTGGGTGACAACAACATATTCATTTGTGTTAATGTTCTTATTCGCAAGAGCATTTTGTCTATTCATGACATTGGGCACGAAATGTGTTAGGATGGCTGCCAACACCGTGAGAATGAGTTGGCCTATCAAGGACCACAGGGATCCGAATTTCTCGTTGATTTTTCCTGCTGACAGTAGTATGATAACTCCGGCTGCCTGCGATACTGCATTCAGAATTCCAGTCGCAGTACTTTCTTCATGAGGAAATGTGAGTTCCACGGCGAATTCATATCCTGCTGTGATGTACGAGTTATTGAAAAATCTGAAAAAAACAAGGAAATCACAGTAAAAACTAGCTCCTCACCCGTTATCTTTATAGCAGCATAGCAGAGTTACGAGAAAAAAAAAATGAATACTATCTGTTGCAAAATACGCAAATTAGGTCTAGTTCCAAATCGCTCTAGCTCCTCAACCCGTTAGTCTTACATGCATGGAACATTATATATAGGAAATTGTATCCACTTCAGATCTTTATAGCAGCATAGCAGAGTTACGACAAAAAACAATGAAAAAAGTGCGAAAAGGGAATTTTGTTCGCAAACTTCAGATTCAGAACCCCCAAAATGATATAAAACCACAGGAAAACTTGAATTATTTCCACGTGAGGGTCTTACTGGTCTATCAAAAAGTTTTTCGAATGTCTAGCAGCATTGTTCAAGTGAACTGGTGGCCGGTCCAAGCAAGCCAAAGACGGCTTGGTTACTGGGCAGGGATGGCCAAGTCCTGCGCCTTCTTATAGGGGTACTGACAGGGCACAATAGGTTACGCAGACACCTATCACTCATAGGTGTGGAAGATAGTCACACTTGCCGTGAATGGGGAGAAGATGAGGAGACCTCACTTCACTTCCTCGGAGAGTGTGAGGCGTATGGAAGGATGCGATTCGAAATCTTTGGAGTAGATAAACTACAACAGGAAGATTTGGTCGAATTAGAGTTGACGGACATCCTGACCTTCTTCAGAAGGACGGGAAGATTCGAAAAGGACAATTAAAATAGGGATGTGTAGATATGTGGAGAGCAAGGGTTGGCAAAAAGGGCCCTTGAGGGCCTACTTGCCTGGCTACAGCCTCCCCACAAAACTACTACAAATACTACTACTTGTTCAAGTGAAATTTGTTATCGCTGTACACGTTCAATTCGTCGACACTTATCAGCGAAAGCCCTATCCGGTACTGTATGTATATTGTCACGTGTCGACCTGAATATAAATTTTTACGTCTGTATAATATCCTATTTGAATACCATCAACATTATCAAATCATTACGAGAACCTGAATACCAAAGTGCGTATGTACGCTGCCTCATAATGCAAAGGTCCAGGGTTCAGTTCCTCAGGTGCGACAACTTTTAGAATTTATTCTTGAACTCAGTCAATGATGATGTGATGTGTCGTCATTATCACTATGTCTTCGTCTGACGCATTGGCTTTCCAGGTTCTCACTCTAATTCAAGGATTGTCCTTTTCCAATAGTCATGGTCCCATAGTATATCTACTCACCTTGGTTATAGCTATTACTAAAAGTGCAAATACTGAATTATCTGTGTACTTACGCAAATATTGATAATAATATGTAAGTGAGTATTATATTCTGCTGCCAGAGAGCTACGATGAACGATGCCAAAGATAGGATAATCATGTAGAACAGATACAAACATGTCGCCCTGAAAGAATCAGGATGAGAATCAGAACTCTGGAAGGTTTATTCGATTTGTATTACTTATATCTATGAGTTTTGTCCAGAATTACCCCACAAAGGACTGCGCCAACCATTCCACATATAACAGAGATGAACCCCATTCGACCAGCATCTTCTTCGCCTTTCTGGAAAGTTGAAATCATCTAATTCTTGTAATACCCTTATCGAATCACATTAAACCCATACTAGTTTGATCACACCTGCCTGTGTACACTCGCCATCAGAGACGATGTCGCGGTTGTACGGTGAAGTCACTGCAACGGTGATTGAGCGATCTGATGCTTTCCATGTGCTGCATATGTTCTCTGATGTCGAGTGTACAAAGTATATTTTTTCGCAAACAGAATTTGAAAATTCTCTATCTTGGGAGTGAAAACCTACTCCTCAGAAAGCTTATTGTTAGAAAGAGTGGACCTAACACTTCATAGTTGATAGCCAATCACTTCTAGGGCGCCGAGGTGCTATCATTATTCCAAATGAGAACCATAAATTTTTGACTGCTGATTCGATTTCCGATTCAGAACCGACAGCACCTTGGCAACGTGAACAAATTAGTTTTGATGCACTTATCTGCTTATGTTCAGGGCTTACCCGATAATTTCGAAACATCCTCTTAGGTCGTGTAATTAATTTCATTCTACAATGTGTGCATGAAAGAGTCGTTCGAAGTGTATATGGCGTGAACCTGCCTGTGATGTTCCAGATTTCATCAAAAAGTAGAACACGTGCACATCTGCGGGTTTCTGACAAAAATAGTTTTTAATTTGACACTACTTGTCGAAGTCGATGAGAAAGAGTAATCATGATTGACAAGTCAGACTCACAATAGGCCTATACCTGCTGTACAACTTGTTTATGCACACAACTGTACATACCAATGAACTGGGATTGCAAAAATTGTCTGCTTTGCCATCATCAAAAAATCAATGAACTTCTTCATGGTTTTGGATGTATGATAAATTGATATTCATCATACAGGACGTGCGATTGAGGTCTATTGAAAATAACTAGTTTTCAACGTTAAAGTTCAAACCCCTCGAATGGGTGGAAGTACTGAAAAGGAATACTCCCAGATATTATCATGAACATGAAGAAAATGGATATATGAATGAATGAAATACATTGAGGATTCGAATTCTCTATGTGATGAAAATACCGATCTTTCTCGGTTTATTCAACAGAAAGTAGTTGTTTTCTGTTATAATTTCTGAATAAACCGGAGAAGAATTGATATTTTCATCACAAATAGAAAAAGAATTCTCAATGTATTACTTTATATACAAGGTGTTTCTGAAATTACTGCACAAATTCAGCACAATAATATGATACAGTCTAAGGAATATTCTCATGATATCAGATTCTTTCTCAATCAACAAGAAATTTCACCCCAGAAAAAGGACAAAATACAAGAAAAAAATCGAGTACGCCACTTCAAAACAATTTAGATGATTGAACTCCGCGTGATTGTGCTTATCTACCGCATGGAAACTTGAACAGTGGTGACGACAGATTTGCTACAGTGTAGAACAGTGGGTGGAAAAACCTCAAATTATATTTTGATCCCTGAATTATTTTTATAAGTGCCATTCGATAATACACGTCGAGATTTCTTAGTATTTGAAATATTTGCCACCATGTATATCCATTTGTTTATGTTCATAATAATATCTGAGAATATTCCGTTTCAATACCTTCTTTATGAATGGAAGAAAATTATAATCATACATATCGGGTTTGATGGGACTTTGTCGGTTGAAATATTACCAATATGTGATGAAAATTTGGAAAGACTACACGCTAAACAGTTCATCATATTGAAAGTCTCTGGGTATTGCTTCATATTGGAGGCATTCCCTTCCGTGCACCTCAAAAAACTATATCCAATGCCTCGATAATCAGAATACACTGCATGATCACTTATCAAACAAATGTTTCAATGTCTCGACAAGTATTTCGCTATATTATCTCAGAATCTCCAGGAGAATATCAAAACTAAGTATCGTAATCTAGAATGCTTTTCATCACCTATCCGTGTAAGACACTGATGAGTGCGCAGGTATTTTCTGTCCTGGTTGGCTTCGCATGTCAATCCAAATCCTAAATCACCAAAATATAAAGAAAGTTATATGGAATGCGCCCTTTGTCCTTATTCATAACCCTATGAGTGTTTTATCATTATCCTATTTTATTATATCATGTTTCTAGGCTTTCATCGAGGCTTTCATATGCTCCTAATTTGTCAACAATAATAAATTGTTTGGAAACTTTCGATATACGATTATTTCATTCACCATGATCGTGATCAAACGTATATGTTGCTACACTCGATTTATCCCGAAGATAATATTTCAAATTTGCTAGGTGTTATTTGAACCTTATTTTCATTGAGCGCTTAAACTGGCCAATATATATTTTATCACAACCATCACTTCTAATGTCGTAGATTCCTGACTTTTTCAGTGTGTCCTCTTATTACTCCTACTTGATAAATTTTGACTCACATTGATTCATGCTTTCAAATCCAAAATCTCTGGAAACCTCATCAATATACTTGGCAACGAATAGCGCAACACATGTCGAGGCGTGGGAAATCGATTGAGTAAGTGGTTAGTTAGTGTGCTCCCATTCCTAGTTAAGAACATTTGAATTGGTTGAAATATACAAGACCTACAACTGTTGAAAGTCAAACAAAATTTGCAAGTGTTCCATTCATGGATTCGACATCTGAATAACCGATACTTTATTTCGTATTTACTACATCTCCTTAATAAAAAAAACTGGTTTTCTACCTATCTTATTCGATAGAAATCATTAAGAAAGTATGATAATAACATGATATTCCCATCTACTCACCGGAAAATGCTGAAGAACATATTGATTCAGAAGCGTTCCTACAACTGAAAATATCCCATAGTTCAGCCCATATCCCAACATCAAACATATGAATCCTCTTTTCATAAAGATTTTCTTGAAATTATCCATAAACTCGCTGAATGTCGGTGCAAGCTGCTTTCTTGCTTCAGCTTGTGGTATGCTAGGTGGTAACGGAGGTTGCTTTGGAAAAACTATGGATCAGAAATTTCATGAGTTCATATATCACGAAATATTCAGACGATGGGTCATAAACTTGAGAATCTATTCATCTCTTGTAGCGCACGAGTGGAAATAGATTTAATGTTCGTGGAACATAGTGGGTATCTAGAAAGAATAGAAAGAAGATGTAGGAGATGTATTTCTCTTGTTGAACTATTGAAGTTCATGAGTTTTTGGGAATACTCCCATTTTGCAAATTATTCCAAAGCTTCGCCGCCTATAGACTAACGAGTAGTTGTAGAAAGCCGTTCAACTATTTGCAAGGCTAACGATGATAAGATGTACTGAATGGGCCAGTAGAGCTGGCTTCATAGACCAAATAATATGCATCATCATGTTCTTCAAACATGATAGGGATTTCCTCTCGTGCGCTTCAATGATCATACCAATTGGAGAAAATAATTTATGATCACACTGTGAATGTAAAACCTGATCATATCAAACACTCACAGAATAGTAAACATATTATGAGAGGAATCATGTAAATGAACAATCCCACACATAATTTCCTCAGGTTCGATGCAATTGAATATAAATCATCATCACTTTTCACTATAGTTGGTGAAATGATAAAGCCCAGTGCGAATCCAAGTTGATTTCCAAATACTCCAATGGCGCAAGCTGTTGATATCTGAAATCATAATAACAATAATGGTTATTGAAATTGAGTGGAATCATGACTCCGCTGCATTCTTTAATCGATTGTTCGACATTTTGTTCTTGTTCATGCAAAGACCAAGAGCACTCAGAATGCTGACAGAAGCAAATGGATATTACTGACTATGCATGGGTGAATTATTATTCAGAACTGACAATAATTTCTTCGTCATTGAATTTTAACTCACCTCACTTGGTTTGAACCATACTGCAGCCACTTTGGTGGGTAAAGACAAAATGAAAACTTGAGCTGTTGATCCAACAGCTTGACCCAGCAATACTAGATGGAATAGATCCCTTCTAATGGCAAATACTTTTATTAGTGCTGCTAAAGCAGTTCCAATTCCACCGCATAAAGCGGCAACCCTCAGTCCCTATAAAGGATAATGATCGTTTATCGAAGTAGAAAAATTTGTCGAAGTACAGGTGTTTAATTCCAGTGATGCTTCAGTGTCGAGAAAAATATTCAATTTATTCACAGAATAGTCCCACGTCTGACTGCTGACACATATATCTCTAACGCTCTAAAGTGACAATTCATTCTTCGACCTGAAATCTCATTCTCATGCGAGTAATTGATATTCAGATCGAATTCCGAGCATATCCCATGGTTTTCATTCACTTGTTGAGGTGAAATAGTATTTCATGCAATGATCACGTGTATATTCAAATACAAGAGCATGAGGTAGCTTATGATGTGAGCTGAAGGCGAGTGTCATAAACCTTGTGCGAGTGTATCAATATCCATAACATAATCGTTGCACGCATTTCTTCTGCTATGACCAATACATAATGGATAGAAATAAACATGTATTGCATCTATCGATCATTCATCTATGGAATAGTACTCAAACAAGCATGTGGAAATGTAGGTACACCGCTAAATGGGAAGTAAGGCATGTTTCACGTTGAAAATTCGTATATTGATATAAACAATATCAAGAAATCTGTACCAGATGTTCACGTACTTTAATTACCGAATGAAAAAATAGTTATTCAACCAACTAGTGTATTAATGAGGGCGATTAATGATCGAGATATTTTAACGTGCGAGCAAAGCGAGCGCGTTAATGTTTGGGATCATTAATCGCCTTTTAATATACAAGTTGGTTACAAAATATTTCCGTCGACTATATTTCTCATTTCTCCTGCAATGAACTTGGTTCGCGAATTCATCATTCATCCGAAGCTGATGCTAAGAATCACCCAGTAGACTTGTTACTGACATCAGTGACATTTGAAATTTGTCGAAATGATCAACATAGAAAATAAATTCCTTGTGTTAGAAAACAGGGATTGAAATCGTGTTAGAAACTTGGAAAGGCGAACCCGTTAACCGAAAATCTTCGATGAAATCCATATTTTCGATTTAAATGCAGATTCCGTTATAGCACAAACAATGAATGCACGCGGTGTATGTTTGGTTGCCTATAAAACAATCGTGCACTATTAGACAAATCATTCATGGATAGGGGTCATAAATGAACGATTTCATATACATTAAACCCAGTCGTTAATACGGGGTCGACGGAAATGTTATTTACACACAAAAATTAAGAAGATTATTAATAAGAGCCATGATATTATCCGCAAGCATCAGTTGAGAAATAAGATATTATTATGTCCCGCGGTGACAATTTGGTCCACTTATGAGCTCTAAATTATATATTTTCCACCACTAGTGATGTTTCCAATTCATCATTCATCGCATCCCTGTAGACTTGAAGAAAGTTCTTCCGAAGCATTTTTTTATATATATTTATATTCGTCATTATATTCGTTGGTTTCACTTTTATATTATCATTTGAAACTATGTTTTAAAGATTCCACATTCTATATAGTTTCTTCAAATGAAAAGAAAATTGATATTTCCTCAATGCCTTCATGCCATAGTTCACTTATGATAAGCTCATATTCAGAGGATAAACCTTTCAATACTTACTGGTCGAATACGATCAGACTGTTTGAACTGTTCTGAATGAACTTTGGAAGCTGAAGTTGCCTGTCTTCTTGTGATCTTTTGTAGTAATAATGATAATAATAATGATGATGAATGATTTTATTGAGCCAACATACATTTACTTGATATGAAAACTCAAATGGCACAGTTCATATTAGCGATAAGAATATCGGCAGCAGCAGGAAATCATTCTACTGATCAACAATGTGTCACTATGATATCTCATTGATTCCAACTCGAATAATATAAATATTTACGAAAGAGAATCAATAGAATAAGCTCCTGAACATTTTTCTACACAAAATATGTTTCTCAAAAAATGAATTGAACTCAATAGTTCACGCCAGATATGCAAGGATTACGCACTGTATGACATTTTCATCATAACGCTCACTAATAAACCGTGCTCTGATAATCATAACCTCAAAGATAAAGAATCTACATACTTTGACATCGATTATGTAAGAGACTGGTATTACTGCCACAGGATAGGCAGCCATATAAATGATTGATGTCCAATCCACCATCAAAGAGCTCACATCATAGTATTTCATCACACTGTTTGTGATAATGGAGTATTCTATCCATTGAAAGGCATTGCCAGATGCATACAGGATGTATATGAAGAGAATCCACCATCTCTTTCGGTATACTTTTATAGGGTCCTTGGAGCATTCTGGAATCAAATCCTTGTTCTCAGGTGGCAACATACTGTTATTCTTCGTATCCCAGGACTCTCCAGATCCCCAAATTTTCAGGGATAATGTTTGTTGAGAAATGATAAATCCGAAGAGGGAACAATAATGCAGATCACATCATCCTGTGGATGAAAAAAATACAGGTTTCAGCTCACATCGATAACATTATTGGAAAATAACATTCACTGATACCACTAAACGCATAATACAGTCTGTCCATTTAGTGCGTAATTCTTCGATATCTCGAAAGCCATAACCTATAGAGAAAAACTTTGGAGGGAAGACTCTTTCAGTTACTAAAGTTGCTCATTTCAAAAAATATGTTCAACATAACTGGGTGTTTCATGGAAGCGAGACGACTCGAAGACGAGTTTTTAAATGGAACACCCAGTATTTTTTATTCGGCATTTATGCCGCCAAGGTTTACCTTCACATCGCTGTGAAAATTTTTTGATTTGGTTGCGGCGTTGCAAAGTTATAATTGATAAACCCATTTTAACCACTATTGAAGAGTCATGTTGAATTGGGCATGGTATTTTCATTTATTCAAATTTTGAAAATATTTTTGGCATACAGTAGAAGCAAGGTCTCACGTACACCAATTCAGTGATTTTGCGAGATGATCCGTTACAGGGTGCTACATTTTGAATATTGTAAGATTCAGACGACGTTCATTAGAATTTTCAAATAGAACACCCTGTATTTCTCATCACAGATTTATCTCGACAACATTCGCCTTTTCATCGCTGGCAAAATATCATTATTGGTTGCGGCGTTTTCAAGTTATGAGTAATTTCCTTATGTTTATCACTACCTCGCAGGGCTACTTATATAAGGCATGGTTCCTTTATATGATTTGAGTGTGGGAATATTGCTTGTCTCATGGCTTTCGAACTTCTACATAGATCATCCAGGTATTTTTGCGATATGTGCATTGTCCAAATTTGAAATATTACGTAATCTTGTTACTTATGATTTAAATTATATGTACCTATGTGAAACAACTCAAACTGTGTCAAGAGCAACGTCTGCCTTCAATACATTGGTCTGAAGGCTTGCTCAAACAGTTGAACCAATTTCAAAGTGTTTCAATCTCGGTTTCAATTGTAATTACATTCTTCAGTTCGGAGTGTCAAACCATTATTCATCATCAAGTTTCCCAAAAAAACCACTGAAGCACAATTATACACTGAAAAATACCTGGAATACTCACAAACACATGGATTATAAATTGAATATCTGGTTGCTTCATCTTCAGTGGCGCAAAAATCTTCAACATTGTTCCCTATAGGTAAGTAATTCAAGATGTTTGACAGTTCATTACACAAATAATAGAAGTGTTTTTCAAAAAATTAATTCATATTCTGCAAAAATTCTGTGGAAGTAGCATTTTGGATCGACTTGTCGAAACCCACTCTGTTTTGAATTCAAACTTGGAGAGCTTGTAAATGTTCCTATTGTGAAAAATATATGGATGGTCAATAGAGGAATTTGATTATACCGTAGCAACGCAATATTTTCACGAGACAAATAGATGAAAGAACTATATATGACGCACAAATTACCCCGAAATAGTAGTAAAAATAAGGAAATTATTCATAACTTGACAACGCCGCAACCTATTTCGATTTTTTTTCAGCGATATAAAGGTGAAAGGTGTTGAAATGACTTTGTGAATGAAAATACAGGGTGTTCCATTTGAAAATTCCAATGAATATCTGAATCTTGCAAAATTACTGGATTGGTATTCGTGAGACCTTGCTACTACTGTATGCCGAAAATATTTTCAACATTTGGATAAATGAAAATACCATGCCCAATTCCACATGACTCTTCAATAGTGGTAAAAATTGATTAATCAATTATTATAACTTTGCAACGCCGCAATCAAATCAATTTTTTTTCACAGCGATGTGAAGGTTAACCTTGGCGTTATGAATTCCGAATAAAAAATACTGGGTGTTCCATTTAAAAAAACTCGTCTCCGAGTCGTCTCGCTTTTATGAAACAACCAGTACTGTTGAAAATATTTTTCAAATGACCAACTTCAGTAACAGAAAAATTTTCTCTCTATTGGTTATGGCTTTCGAGATATCGAAGAATAACGCACTAAATGGACACACATATATCTGATTGGTCTTTTATACGGGTGAGTGAAATTCGAGTAGATGCATGGGGATCTCGGGAACGGTAATAGCTACAGAGAAGGTTGAATGGAGGCAAATTTGCCAAATTTTATGCCGAACAAAATTCCGTTCCGAAATATCAAAACTTCCGGATACTTCCAAAGATTTTTGAAGAAACTAAATTTCTTGATTTTGATTTATCCTAACCCTATTTGAATAGATGTTAAAAATCATTTTCCACTTTCTCAATGAATACTGACCCAATTTTCTTATTAATCTGTGAATAGTTCGTTCGAATTCACTCCAAAATGATATGGAGGAAGCCCTGTAGAATCTGTCACTTGCTGAAATTCAGGACTGTTGGTTCCAGCAGGATGGTGCACCTGCACATAAATCAAGAGTTGCTGGAGATTATCTTATACTCACATCATGAAGAGTCTTAAGAACGAATTCTGAAATGCTCTGGCCAGCTCCCTATGTGACCCCGCCAGACTCCATTCTCTGAGAATATACTGGTTAGCGAAGCATTCCAAAGTATATCGCCAGAAATGCTGAATAATGTTCCAAATTCAACAGTAGGAAAATATTATGCATGCTGAGAGAGCAATGGCAAATGTTTTTAATATATCTGTTTAATTTATCAGTTTTGTATCTTATAGTTTTAGCGTTCAAAGAAGTTTTTGATCTGTGCCTCTGTTCATCCCTATGCTGTTATTATTTTTCGAATCATTAATTGATTATTCACGTAGGTTCTCTGAAATATTTAATAAATTATGATAAACCCAAATCACTTAATAATATATAATAAGTGACATACTGTCGAAATCAGGAATGAAAAGAGGTCATTGAATCTTATATGAAAAAATCAGGATAGAATTCGAAAGAATTACTTTGATCACTCAAACGCGAAACGTTTAATGCCAAAATAAAAAGCAACAGAACTTGCCATGAAGCTGTTATTTTAGTTTTGGGATAACTTCGCGTTATCCAGACTTCAGGACAGAAATGAATTTCAAATCAGGAAATCCAGTTTTTGAATGGACTACATGATAGATATTTCACCAAATACTGTATTGATGAGTGGAAATAATCAATCGCCTCAGTGGTGGACCTGGTTAAAAATTTTTTCGTCGACAATATATACGTCTCCTAAAATGAAGAAGTTCCAGTGCCTGAAATCGTTATCCATTCGGAAACTGCTAACCAGTAACCATGAAAGTCAACTTGTTTCTGACATAAGTGATATTTGGCATGTGGTGAAATCAATATGCATGGAGAATAAATTCCATTTTTTGGCAACCGTCCGAAAAGTGCTGACTTCAAGGGGTGTTACCTAGTGACATTCTAGCATATAAATTTCATATAAACATGTGTCCTTACTTGCTCCATTTTCGAGATACAGGATGTTGAACTTGGAAGTATTGATTGTTTTCATTTATAACCCCCTGTATAAGCTTTCATTGTGTCAAAATTCAGTATAGATGGAGACTGAGGAAGCCTCAAAATTTCAGAATGATTCTTGTTGGGGTTATTGATTAATCTCGATGGAAACTTAAAAACACCTACATTTAAATTTGGAGTGAAATAGAATTTTCATTGTTTCCTCAAAAACTAAGCTAGATACAAAAATAACACAGGGGATGAAAAAGTTGTTATTCCAATAGTTCAATCTAATAAAAATATGACACTCAGAAAAATCGCTGGTGTACAATGACATTCACCATGAATATCGATAAATTTACCCACTGTGACGCCACTGGAAATATTATTCCTAATCTAATTGCACTAGAAGAAGCTCTATATTACTATTAACAAAACAACAACGTTTTATTGAAATTGATGAGAAGACAATTGAGAAATGAATAGAGAAAAGATTTTTCATGGAAAAATTAATGCCCTGTATCTCGAAAACGGAGCAAGTTTGGACACATGTTTATATGAACTTCATTTCCTGAAATATCACAAGAAATCACCCCTAGATTTATTCCGGTGTTATTTAGATACACCCTGTATGGTTGTCACACGTCAAAGTACTACTGAAAATAACAGATATTGTCTGGCTATACACATACTTCAATCGTGATTTATTGCTCTCGAAATCGTGTAAAGATTGTTAGTTGCTTTATTGTCAGCTGAATAATATTGTTTTCATCAAGTTATCAACAAAAGAATTATTTCATTCACATCGAAGGATATAATTGTGAATCGTGTGCCACATGTATCTATTCATTCATCGTTCAGATGATATATGCATGGTCAATTCAGTTGAAAATAGGTTTGCCTCATTGTTACTTCGTTACTTGAGTCTTGAGTAGTGAATATGTTATCATCTGTTCAGTTATTGTTATATTTTTTCTTCATACAGAACATCATTACGATGTTCATTCTACTTGAACCACATCTTGAATAAAATCAGTGAGTCATTTTCTTGTGACGATTTTGACAGTTATCAGTGTCACAAGTTTCTTTCAGTATCTAGTTGCTTTTGCAATTCCACGCAAATTCGCCCAAATAATCAGTCAAAAGTGGCCCATCAAGAGTGAGATATACACACCTTGCATTAAATATACCGCAAAAAAAACAAGTATTGTCCACCCATACTCTTCACCGCCCCGAATTGTTTCATTTCGAAAAATAATATGATCGATGAGACTCTGAATCAAAATATCTGGGTTTTACTGAAGTTTTTTTGAAAATTTCCATCCAACAACAATCGAATATTCAATTTCTCTTTTATTTTTATTCAGTTTGTGTCCCACTGAGGTAGACGAGGTACGGGTAAAAAACATTTTTTCAAGTTTTTTCTAATTACCGGTAGGTGGCGAAGTTACTATGATACAACGAGCAAATCAAATTATCTCAGAAAATCTCTGGAAATGAAAATAT